TAAGGTTCGCAGCCCAATTTGTAACCACTATGCTACTATAGGTTCCATTAATACCTTCTTTTTTTTTTTTAACCGAAAAGTTAATGATGAATAATTATAAAAAGACAATTAGTACACCTATGACTAAACCTACTATAAGACAAGGAAAGCTACCTTACTACAAAATATCATTCTTTACCAACTAAACTATTACGTCTTTCCTCAATACTTGAATCCCAAATTTATGGCACAAACATACATACTTTTTTGTAAAACAAAATTATGCTTTATGAGAGTCAACAATAAAATGACTCTAGGTTAGCAACAATCAAAGAACTTAAGGAAAAACGATTACGTATTTATTACAAAACTCTTCATCCAAGTGATTGCTTTTTTCTTCAAAAAGCACAAAATAATGCTGACTTCCCTAGAAAAGTTCATACAGAAGAGATAGAAGCCATGACCCATCACTTCTCTTGTTGTGTAACATAAAATACTTGAGATGCTTATGAAAATCACCCTAAGCTGTAAGAATTCCAAAGAGGAAATAAACAAACTATATAATAAAATGGAAGGAGCTCTGGTAGCGTAGTGGTAACGAATTGGGCTGCTAACTTTAAGGTCAGCAGTTCGAAACTACCAGCTGTTCTGTGGGAGAAAGATGAGGCTTTCTGCTCCCATAAAGATTTACAGCCTTGGAAACCCTGTGCAGGGGTCTCTATGAGTTGGAACCGACCCCACAGCACATAACCACCAACCGCCATAATAAAATGTGAAGAGGCTAAGCTTTGCTAACCGTGGTTCCCCACCCACCTTCTCCCCGACCCCGACTTCTCCCACAAAGCAACCTCTACTAATAAAAGCACCATTTAGCAAGTAGCTCCCTACTGGATCCTATCTCTCCTTGAGTGCTTACCACAATCTGATTTCTGGACAGCTGACCCAAAGTTTGTTGATTTTACTGATCTTCAGAAAGCCACTGACTGGCTAAAGTCTTATTGGTGAACAGAGTCAAAAATCAGATGCCCCTGCCATACTTTACAGAATGAGGAGTTGGACAACACAGTTACGTTTGGCTGCACTGTGGTGAGACATATGAGGCATCTTCTTTTTGTCTTCAATCAGCCACTTTTGGGCTGAGTAGTTTTATTACATCTTCAAAAACTGAGCTCCAGTTCTTGATGGAGAGAGAGGAAGGTCATTGAGGAGGTGATTCAGCTCAAGAGCTAAGTGAAAAATCTTTTGATTCAGTCCTGCTTGTGGATAGAAGTCATCTTCTGGATGGAAGAGGGAGTGAGATGACCTAGAGTCTTGAATTGGTGCATCTGCAGGAACAGAAACTAAATACAGTGGAGACCTCTTAACTGAGTAACACCACGAGATGGATTTCCTGACAATGTCTCAATATAAGTTAAATATAAAGAATAAACATGTGCTTTGGAGTTGATCATGCACTTGTTTTTCCAGATATCAAATGCATTTTATAATTCAATGAATATATACATTTTCCCACTGATTATAAAACAATATGGAGAAAAGAAAACAGTTTAAGAAAAGAAAGACCCACTCATACGTAAACCTATCTATCTCTTCGAGTACCATACCCTCACTTTACAGTCACTTCTTCTTTCAAATGACTGTTTCTTCACATACACAAACTATAATCTGCCTATTCCATTTAACGTAGAAGTAAATGTATCAAATTTGAATTTCAGATGGATCTCTTAATAGAAACTTAAGTGTCTTATTCCCTAGAGATATGGAATTCAAATAAACTCAAAGAACTAAATTTAGACTTGAATAATCTATCCTTTATAAACTCGAGGATTTAAAGTAACAAAATTATCTTCTGACTTTTTAATAATAATAATAATAATAAAAGTATATCATGAAGTTAGGCAATTTTTAAATGCAATGGTCACCTCATATTTCCCTCAAACTTTAAGCTAAAAAATCTAAGAAAGCCACTATCAGATTCCTGTGGACCTAATTTTCTCTTTATGTTAATAAGAATTTTGTTGAATATTTGATTACTTAGAATTTACATAAGTAAACTTACTATATATATTCTTTGTAACTGTTAAGCCAGAGATCAGCAAACTGGCTTGGGAACCAACTCCAGCCCAGCGTTTCTTTTTGTTAAATAAAGTTTTATTGGGACATAGTCATGCTTATGCACTTACATACTGCCTATGGTTGCTTCAATGCTACAGTGGCGGAGTTAAAGTAATTGTAACAGAGACCATATGGCCCACAATGCCTAAAATGTTTATATCGCCCCTGGTAGAGATAATTATTAAACTAAATGGGAAAATGTACTTTAAATTTTTTTTAAATTAAAGAGAAATGACATGTCAAATTTACCATATAAAGGAACAATAGTAAAGTAAGTTCCAAGAGATCACTTATCTGGTTTTGATTCAGATGAAGGAATCCTTGATCCTATCCTAATATTGCCATTTATTTTTATAGTTTCTGACATATTCAAGAGTATATACAGTATTTTACAGATTTCTACTTTCAAGTGGGCCACATTATTTTGAAGTGGTTAAATATTTAAGTTACATCTTACCTAATGTTGTTTCTCCAAAATCTCTTAGATCATCTCAGACCCTTGTGTATATTTCTTCTTTGCCAGTAGATGGAGACAACACCACTGAAAGTTTAAAAGACATCATTCCCTGTTTAAAGGGAGCTTGCTGGTCTGAAAAATTGGGGGAATTCTTAACCCAAAGATTTCTTCAAAGCTACTTTTAAAAAGGCAGATAGAACGGGCTATGCCAAAATCCGAAATCCAAAGAAATATACCCAATATTGACTATGGACAGCCTAAAAATTTTACTATAGGGACACCAAACACTGATGTAGTATCTAAATCACAGTATTAAAATATAATCATCTGTATAGCTTGTAAAATTCAAACTTCCTGTTTTATTGCTCCTGATTCACGCTAAGTCATTTGTTTTTCAGTTTCAGAGAGCATAATTTAAGAAAAAAAGTCCTTTAAATTCCAGAGATGCAGTACAAATATGGTTTTTATAAGTATTAATCATATGCACCACTAAGAAGCCTTTTGTTCAAAATAAGATAACTACCCAGATAACAAGAATTTTATAGAGTTAAAATAGAAATGGCAGAGGAATAAGAAAAAATTCAATGGTCATACTAAAAAGAAATGCTTACCAAAGGAAAGATTCAGATTATCTCCTTTCTAAATTTTTTATTTTCCTATTGCAATTACAGAAGCAGATCAACAGCCATTTATAAGAAACAAATTTCAATCTTGAAGGTTAAGAAGTCATCTGAAAATCAACATGTGCCTACATTTTAAAATCAACAGCTTCCTTTCCAAAACCAGAGCCCTAAAGCCATTGTTTTTGGGTGTCATTTTAAAGAAAATACAAAGTTATATTAAAAAGAGAGAACTAAGATATTATTCTATTTATATTTGCCACAAGACTCCTTTTCTTGAAATACACTAAATAAGAACAACCTATTTGGCAGCTTTGTAGTTTTCCAATGGAGAGAATGTTTTACTAAGAAAAGGATGTACGAAGTAATATCCAGCTGTGAAGGAATACAAACCCCTCAAAATTCCTATTTTTACATATATTTTACTTGTCCTTCAGTTAGATATCAGGACTAAAACCAGTTTACATAAAAGGGAAGTGAATATAGTATTCAGGCATTACCATACCGGTAAGTATTTATCTAAATTAAATTAGAAGGAGCCCTTAGTAGCCTAATGGATTATGAGCTGGGTCTGCAGTTAGAATCTACCAGTCATTGTGGAAGAAATGAGGCTTTCTGCTCCTGTAAAGATTTACAGCCTCGGAAACCCTATCCAGGGGCCACTATGAGTGGGAACCAACTCGAAGGCATACAACCACCACCAAACGGTTAAACAAGAACAGATAATAGCTGCTCAAATAAATCCTCTTAACGTGTCACTGTAGTGTAAGTACTGGACTATACTTACACTAGGTCAGCAATTCAAACTCACCAGCTGCTCCTTGGAAACCTTAAATAGGGTCACTATGGGTTGGAACTGACATGACAGCACTTAACTACAACGACTTTACAAGACAAAATAAAGCAGGCCTTGAACTACAAACTTCAATAAACTATGAAATTTTATGATTCCTAAGAGATAATAACTTTCATCTGCCAAGAAAATTATAACCACATTACAACGGCCTATATTAAAGAGTACATAAACAACTACAAACACTGTAATAAACCACATGTAAATACTCTATGGCTTTATTTAGTAATCCTTGTTCCCCTTGACAAACTTTTTGACCTTTCTACAAATCTTCAAAAACTAGTATGTTTGTAGCTAATTCTAATTAAATAAAATTACTACTACCACAGAAAGACACTTTGTAGCTTTCAAAGTGTATTCACTTTATGTTCAACTCAAACATAAAATAAAAACTATCACCAAAACACACAATCCATAGACAAACACTTACAAAACTGTATTTTGTACTGCTACCTGTCCCTTAGCACCTAACGAGGAATGCCTATACCCAAATCTTTTCAAGCAATAGCCAGAAGGGTGCTTTGGAATTCTAGATTCAAATAGAGTACTATCAAACTACAATCTCCACACCATACTATCATATAAAAAATAAAATGACCAACAAGAAATGAATTTTCTTTATATTAATTTTGGTTTGGAAAAAAGTAAAACAACACACCAGGTATTAGCCTGGCAAGTTCCTCTTGGGAATCTATGATGTCAGTGCTCCTGCCTCCACCTGCTGGCAAATAGATTATAAAACTAGCAAAGGTAACTGAATAGAAAGTTAGTATTTTTTATAACAAAACAAATGTAGTTTCACATAATCATTTAGCATGGTGCTATTTTTTTTTTTTTTTATCAGTTAGTAAAATACTGATGGATATCCATTAGGTGGCATTCACAAAACAAAACAAAACAAAAAATTACAAAAGATTTCTTGTTTAGAATGTTATCTAAAAGGCCGAAAATCAAGTGAAAAAATTATTTTAATTACCTGATAAATGACATCTTGGAAAAGGACTGGAAAAGTAAGTGCTGCATCTTCTAGTTCATTTAGACTACAGTGCACTAGTGTTTCATCCTTAAAATAAAAAGCACATATTGAAGGAACCAAGATACTCAAAGAAATTTGAATTCAAGTGATAACTGTATGGATACATCACCAAAAACATTTATTAAAATACCCATTCATATGTGGAATTTAATATTTGTAATCCACAATACATGTGGCATAACAATTTGGGACAGAATTTTCTAAGCCACTGATTCTAGTGGACCAGCATCATCTGGGGAACTAGTAAAATTTTCAGTTCCATTCCTAATGATTCAGAAACTCAAGGGAGGTGGGAGAAATCAAAGATGGGGAGTTAGAGCTCAGCAATAAATGTTTTATTAAGCTTTTCAGGTGACTCTGGTGTGTGCTCAAAATTTCAGAACCACTGATGAGTTTTGAAAAAGCCCTGATGGTGCTTGTAGGATGAGTACTGGACTGCTAACTACAAAGTGAGCAGTTCAAACCCACCAGCTCAGCAGGAGAAAGATGAGGCTTTCTGCTTCTGTAAAGATTTATAACCTTGGAAACCCTACACAGAGGCACTTCAAGTAGAAACTGACTCATGGCAGTGGATCGCTTTTTTGGGGTGGGGGTTAAATTCTGCATTTCCAACTTTAAGAAAATCAAATGCTATTACTGATTTTTACAATGAGCAAATGCAAGTTAAGAACCTAGTTGTTAAAATATATATACACATGTTAAGTGCTCTCAAGTCAGTTCCAACTCTGGAGGAACGACTGGTATTCATCCTACAGTGCCAAACCAGGAATCCACATACACACATATATATTATGTGCGTGTGCGTGAATCATATAACTCTTTACACTCAAATCTTTTACAAAAAATTTTATTTAAGTAATAGATGTTTTAGTAATTCATGAATACATTTCACAGACCATTGCTCAACTAAATTAGTAGTTAATAAAGACTTAGCTTTGATTTATCAAACTTTTGTTTTCTCATTATGAGGGTGTTGTCAAGTCAGTTCCAACCCATAGCGACCCTCTTCTAGAGGGTCCAAGGAGCGACTGGTGAGCTTGAACCACCAACTTTGCAGTTCAAACTGACTTTGCAGTCCAGCACATTAACCCACAGTGCCACACCAGGATTCACATTATGAGGGTAAGAAGGATCACCAAAATCTAAGACATATGTCAATGCTTACATTTTTCAAAACCCTTAAAGGTTAAAAACAGGATTTCTATTTGTATTAAGTGATTGTTACGTGCCAGCAAGTCCATTTTGCCAGTATAGGGTTTCAGAGGAGCAACTGGTGGGTTTGAACTGTCAACTTTGTGGTTCGAAGTCCAGTGTTGATCCTATAGTGCCACACAGTATTAAGTGATAACAGCATTTATTTAAAAAATAAAGTTGCTAATAACTATCCACAAGTTTTAAAAATGTGTTTTAATTTCAATTAAAATGAAATAAATGTGTCTCTACCTTTTGAATCCATATCTTATTAGCTGGAATTTTTTTTAAACCTATAGTTAAACTCTGGGGAGGCAAAGAGCAAAAATATGCTAGATATGCCTCATTTCTATTAACAGCGTATCAGACTACACAATCTTAAGAAAAAGCATTATTTTTCCTTGTTGTTATGTGCCGTTGAGTTGGTTCTAACTCACAGCAACCCAGGACAATGTTTCTGAGGAATGGTTGGCGGGTTTGAACTGCTAACCTTGCAGTTATCCATCCAGCGCTTATCCTACAGTTCCACCTTAAATCATAACTAATCCTGCTATTTTACATCTAAAATTATAATAATTCTTCATCTACTTTTATAAAATTACTCATTTATATCCAGTCAATTCTTATTTTTTCTTCTCTATTTATTTCACTTCAGACTCTAAAGGAATATGAGAGCAAATTAAACTCTAATCAAATTTGCTATGATGACCATATCAACTCTTAACATCAAAAGTTAGCAAAACCGTTCCTGATTTATCCACTAACTTGCATATCAAATCTGAACTACTCACAGTCAGATCAATCAGACTCCAAATATTTTTTGCTTTCCATTTATCCTCTAATGAAATATCTTAAAGATAATAAGGACTTCTGAATACCTATCTTATACCTCTTTGAGCAAACAAAGGTTAAGATGTTAAACTCACAAAACACAACTACTATACACACTAATTAAAAATCTAAAAGAATATGCTTTACCTCAAGGTGAAACATCTATAAACCAAAGCACATCTCCCATTATATGGTTAATAGCACCAAATGCTAAATAATGAAATGTATCCTAATATTATATAATGGATACATTCATTTTTGCTAATATAAAGAAACTGTAGGCAGGTAGTATATGTAATCATATATTCAATGTGAACAAAAGATATGAGATTTTCAGTTTTCAAAGTTCTTCTGGGTATGTGGAACCCTAATGGTGAAGTGGGTTATCTATTGAGCTATTATCCATAAGGTCAGCAGTTTTAACCCACCAGCCACTCCACAGGATAAAGGTGAGGCAGTCTGCTCCTGTAAAGATTTGTAACCTTAGAAACTCTAAGGTGTTGTTCTATTTTCCTATATGGTCGCTATGAGTCAAAATAGACCCAATCACAGTGGATTTGGTTTAGGAAATGGGTTTGGGATATCTAAAATAAAAGTTTAAGTCATACTAAGAGAAATTAAAAAAGGTTCTATTAGTAAGCATTACAAGGTCATGCTTTTGAGAGTCTTATTAATAAAGAAGTGCATTGCTATTAGATACTATTATTATCTAATAGGCAAAAGTGAGAATAGGAGGAATATGGTCTTGCATAAAGATAATTCATTGAGCTCCACGTTATATGTGGTCCTTCATGGAAACATGTACAAAGAAGAAGAAATCTGAAATCTAGATATGATTTCAAATTAGGATTTCATGGGAGATGGAAAAACAAACCAAACCAAACCACAAAGGTCTCAGGTATAAAGAACTAATCTAACTACAAAAAGATAAGCCCAATTTATTAATCAACCAAACAAAGGATTCTTCCATTAGAGTATGGTTAAATAAAAATTTCAGACCACCCAGGATATGTTGTTGTTGTTGTTAAGTGCTGTTGAGTCAATTCCGACCCATAGTGACCCTATATAGGGTTTCCAAGGAGCAGCTAGTGAGTTTGAACTGCCAACCTTGCAGTTCAAACGACTTTTTAGTCTGGCACATAGTGCCACACCAGGACTCCCACGTAGGACATATCTATAGTAAATTCATACTAGATGGATATTCATACATTGCTTTCCATTAGGTATTTTGAACCGTTACTTAAAATAGGAATTCAATCCCTTTATTCTCCTCTACAAGGAGCTCTGGTAGCGTAGTGGTTACTAATTGGGTTGCGAACCGCAAGGTCAGCAGTTTGAAACTAACAGCGGTTCCGCAGGAGAAAGATGAGGCGTTCTGCTCCCGTACAGATTTATAGCCTTGGAAACCCTGTACAGGGTTGCTATGAGTCGGAACCGACTCTACAGTACTTAACAACAATAACATTCTCCTCTACAAAGAACTCTGGTAACGTAGTGGTTATGAATCAGGCTACGAACCGTAAGGTCAGCAGTTCGAAACTACCAGCTGTTCTGCAGGAGAAAGATAAGGCTTTCTGCTCCCGTACAGATTTATAGCCTTGGAAACCCTGTACAGGGGTCGCTATGAGTCGGAACCAACTCCACGACACATAACAACAACAACAACAACATTCTCCTCTACAAGGAGCCCTGGTGGTGCAGTGGTTAAGCACTTGGCTGCTAAACAGAAGGTTGGTGGTTCAAAACCACCAGCCATGCTGTGAGAAAATGATGTGGCAGTCTGATTCAAATTATAGGTTATAGGCTTGGAAACCCTATAGGGCAGTCTATGCAGTGTTACTATAAGTCAGAATCGACTTGATGGCAATGGATTTGGTTTGGGTAGGGATTTTCTTCTACAGACAATATACTTACCAGGTCTAAAACTAGGGAGAATTCTGGTGTGCTTCTTGTTTTCAATGGAAGAGCAGGTTTCCTATTTAGTTGTTCTTCTGTTAGTGGTGGAACATGTTTAATGAAATAATACCTATAAATAAAAATTTAAGAAAATTTTAACATGTATACTTTTCATAAATATGAAACATATTAAATTCACCCTATCTTTCAAACTTCAGTTAAAGAATGTATGTTTAACTCAGTAAAATCAAATATCTAAAACATGTAAATGAAAGTGGAACTGTACAAATTAGTATCTTAATAACTAATAACTTAGTAAAAGGTCACATGTTCTTTGTAACACACTAATCGCCTTCTCTTCTACAAACGTACTCTTTCTGCTTTAAGAAAAACAAAGCAAATGAAATAACAAACTCACGGGTCAAATACTTCCCAGTCTTCTTCATAGGTGGCCTCTGCATGAGCCGACGAATAGCCACTATCTGGAGTTACTGGTGCTAATAGTAAAGTGAAAAACAAAATGTTAGTTTAACTCCAATGTTTCCACAAAGTATTTAATTGTATTGCTTCTATATAAAATATTCCTGAACCCCAACTAGTGTAAATTAGGTTTAATAAAAACAATTTGCCAACAGTGTTTAGAAGCAAATATAGCATATAGCTCAATTTCCAGATCCAAAGGAAAAAAATTATCACAAAAGAAAAAATGACAAGCTAGAAATTCCTTTCAGCTAACAGAAAATGTACTCCTTATGACTAAGTTTTCATGTGCAGCTTTCATAGCACTAATCCTCACAAAGTACCTTGGATGTACAGGCTGTCAGCAAATGTATGCTGACAATAGACCCATAGGTCTATTTTAACCTGGGATCCGCAGGAAGTCTAGAAGATATCTATGAATCTCAAAATGACTTGTGGGGAAAAAAAAAAGTTTGTATGTACGTTTTCTCAGAAATCCCAAGACTCTACGACTTTAAGAAATTAGGAAATGCTCCTTGATATGGATATCATTGCTTTATAAGGTTCATTATTTCACCTCTGATTTACAAGCCACTAAAAATAATCAAGAAGCAATTCTATATTCCATGCCAATAGTCCATTGTGTTTGAGCTAAAAATGTATAAATTGCTAGGGCTTTAGGACCCATATTTGGAGTTTTATAAGGCAGGTATTGTAAATGGAGCGGAGCATAAAAAAAACCCTGCAAACTAAACAGCTTTGCAGAGATAAAAGTTTTAAGATGGATTCCAATAAAAAATTGATATAATTTTTCTATAGAAATGGAATGCTGATAGATCAAAGTCTTTCTGGAAAAACAGCTTTTTTTGCTACTCTTATGCATAGGGTTAAATTCATATAAGCTCAATGAATGACATCAGATGATAATGAAAAATATATATTATAGTCACGCTACTATTTTAAATTCTTACAAATCTCAGAAAAAGCAAAGGAAGAAAAGAGGTACATTTATCGAATATCAATAGTTAAGTATTTTCATATGTAATCTCAATGTAACTTTTACAACCCTTGTTATTACTTACACAACAAAAACATAATTGCATGTAATTTTATTAACTATACATGTAAGGAGCTGTGGTGCTGTGAGTCAGGCGTTAAGCTGCTAACCACAAGGTTTAAAACCCACCAGCTGCTCTGTGCTTCTGCTCCCGTAAAGATTTAGTCTCAGAAACCCTAGAGGGTCATTATGAGTTGGAATCAACTTGATGGCAGTAGGCTTGGTTTTACTATACACGTAGTCCCTGGGTATATACTAGGAGTCCCTGGGTGGTTCAAAAAAGTTAAGGCACTTAGCAGCTAACCAATAGTTTGGTGGTTTGAATCTACTCAGAGGCTTCTTAGAAGGCTGGTCTCATGATCTACTTCTGAAAAATCACCCACTGAAAACTTTACAGAGCAGTTCTACTCTGATGGGGTTTCCATGAGTAGGAATTGACTCAATGGCAACTGGTTTTCTTAAAAACACTAATTATGGTCATTAATTGAGGGGAAATAGTACCAATTGGTGCTATGATCACTTTAGACTAAGAAACTTGAAACTCAAAATTCCAAACTGAGTGTTAAGAGAATTTAAATATGCTTTCCAAAGTCACATAGCTAAGTAAATGGTTCAAGTGTTTTAATGCAAGGGCTGTCTAAGGCTAAAGTTCTGGCTGTTTTGTATTATTCCAATCAATGTAGGAGTCTTGGTGGTACAAAGGTTAAGCACTCGACTGCTAACTGAAAGGCTGGTGTGTGATCCCATCTGCCACTCCACTGGAAAAAAGACCTGGCAATCTGTTCCTGTTAAAATTACAGCCTAGAAAAATCTTAGGGAGTAGCTCTACTCTGTCCTATGTGTTGGAATAGACACAATGACAAACAGATTTAGCACTAAAACAGAACACTTCTCTAGTTTCCCATCTTACATACAAATTACATGCTCACCAGCCTTTCTTGTTCTCTTTGGCAACATTTTCAAAAGTTTTTAAAAAAATTATTTGTCACTCATAGGCATCTTTCAAGAACACCATAAATGTTATCTCCATTAGATGATATTCCCAGTCAGAGTAACGGCCACATCATTTTGCTCATTTCTTTTTTACAGCTCTCACCACACCATACAGTAATTTTTCTGTATACCTGGCTCTTTAAGTGAATTCTTCAAGGTCAAGGAGCACAGCATTCCAGTTTATCAATAGCACATACACAAATAATACATGCTTATTAAATGTTAGAAGAATAAATAAAACAACTTAAGTAAATCTTACTTTTCCTCTCTAGAAGCCACTACAAGTTACAGAAGTCCATTCTCCATTTTCACGGTTGTCCAAAAAATAAAAAGGGGGTGGGGGCGTGGGGGTGGTGGCAGCACTTACGTAGCAGCACAAAACTATAGTACAAACATCAGACAGGAAAAGCCAAGAGCCCTGGACTTTTTAGTCAATACTTTACCATTCCTTAGCCTTGTAACACTAGACAAAGCAATCACCATAAAATGTAGGTCAATGGTAGGTTAATTCATAAATCTTTCCCATGCAAGAATGAACCGTCCATTCATAATCCTTGTTGATTTGTCTGTTAGGTTCAATATTATTTTTATACTTTAGGCTTAACACTATAGTTATCAATCTTCTACTTGACTTAGAATATTGCTGTTTTATTTTTCATATTGGTATCACTGTGTTGCACTGTAAAGAAGTTTCATAATTAATAAGCCATCTTTTTCTTGAATCGTCTTCTATTTCAATGATTTAAAATTTTCCCTTTTCTATATTTGACAGAAATACATTATTCTGCTTCTTTATACCAAACCATATTTCTTAATTAATTAATATACAATTAACTGGATTATCTCAAGTAATTGGTAAAACAAGAAATAAAAAAATTTTAAAAATGAGAAAATCTCTGTCCCAGAGGGAGAAGATGGCCATCCTCAGTTTTAATTCTTCTTTTAAGTTTGTTCTAAAATCCATGGAACACAATTTCATCTTTAGCTTTTTATGTCAATCTAGCATAATCCTTAGAAGCAAGAAATTCCTGATCTCCTATCTTTCTGCATTTCCATGACAACCAGACCCCAGCAATTTTGGTAGGCTTTTGGAAGGATTCAGAATTAGACTGCAAGTGTGATATAGGAAGTGATCCAGGATTAAGAACCCCTTTGTAGCAGATCTCAACTATAGATGAAATATAGAAATATGAAGGGGTAAGAATACCAGACCTAAGGGATTAAGACTTATACAATTATAATAAATTCAAAAATATACTTTTATTAAAACAATAAAGATGCATAAGACAAGAAATTTTCTTCACCTGTAAGGGGTGGGATATCACGACTAACTGTTTCTTCTGCTTCTTCTAAGCCATTATTTATTGATGACCTCACTTGAACTGCTTGATTTGAGTAAGCTGCTCCATTAGTTGATGTAGTAGTACTGGTAGTGATCTCATCCACTTGTTCCATATCAAGTTGTTTTACTATCTCTTCAGCTTCCACAGCCTGTCCTGGGGAATCTGATCCTGATGTTCCTGAAATCATGATTCAGTATACTGACAATCATCATTTTAAAACAAATGCAATACAAAAATCATGCTGCATTACTTTATAATTTATTTATCACATTGGTAATTCATACATCTGTGCTAACTTCAGCTCACTGTTACATGATACTTGCTGGACATTTCAAACAAGTAGGCTAGAATCCCGTTTCTTAAAAGCTTCCAAATTACTTTAGAAACACCCAATATTACTTATATAACAAAATACAATTTAGAGCTTTTTTCCATTAAACTAATGTTTCATTAAATTAGAATATCTGTTGTTATTATGCAGCGTTGAGTTCATTTTGATTCACAAGAACCCCATGCGACATCTTAGACTTGCCCCAATAGGTTTTTTAGGCTGTAATCTTTATGGGAGCAGACAGCCAGGTCTTTCTCCAAAAGAATCACAGGGTAGGTTTGATGTGTCAACTTTCTGGCTAGCAATTGATTGTTCACTGTACCATCGGAGCTCATTAAACATCTCTATTTATTAAGTGCCAATTATGTGCGAGGCAAGGAGCCCCTGGTGGTCCAATAACAAATATCAATGTTTATTTCCTCATTTATACTCAGTTACCACCTGACTGTTCCTGTTGCCTGATGTTTATTTCACTATGAAGACTCCTGGTGTGGTGCTGTAGGATCAGCACAGGACTGTGAACCACAAGGTCGTCAGTTCAAACCCACCAGCTGCTCCTCGGAAACTATGTACAGGGTTCACAATGAGTTGGAATCGACTTGATGATACTTAACAACAACATGGAGTGATACTAACTCTTTCTAGAATCCTCCAAATGTCATTTTAAACACCAAAAAATATGAAAACCAACCCCCAATATGCCCAACTTCCTTACAGGATATTCCTTTCTCCCCTCATTGCTTTAAATTTAACCACTTTTCTGAAAAAAACTTTCCCCCCTCAAGACTCTTCATTCTCCCACACTCATATTCTTAAGTGCCATAGAGTCAGTTCTGACTCACAGCAATCCTGTAAAGGGTTTCTGAGACTTCAGATCTTCATGGAAGTAGAAAGCCTTATCTTTCTCTTGTGGAGCAGCTGGTGGTCTCAAACATAGGACTTTGTGGTTTATAGTCCAGTACTTTTATCATATGTACTATGTACAAACTTCATTTATCCCCATTGCTGCTCCTAGATCACAGGTTTTTCACTATTTTGCAAAACGACTGTTCCTTTGAGACTGATGTCACCTGGCTATATAATTCTTCACTTAACCTCACAGCTGGCCTCTGTTGACAGCATCCTCTTCTCAATCATAGTGGAGTGTTACATCTAGCTTCCCAGTTTACTACTCTACTTCATGCCTGTCTCGTTGCCACAGGTGGTGTTAATGACTTACCCAAGAACTAATCCTTAAAGTTCATGCCCTCCCTCTTCAGCTCTAAGTATCTTCATCCATATCTCTTAAGTAGCTATTACCATGGTCATACCCAGGGCACGAACACTAAGAAACTGTTCACCTCTAAAACCTAAAATTCCAATATACTAATCCCTTACTGGAGTTCTGGTGTGGTGCTGCAGGATAAAGCACTGGTTGCTATGAGTCCGAACCGACTTGACAGCACTTAATTCTTCACTTCAACCTCTTAACTTTCCAGTCATCTGCCTCATACTCTCATCACATACCACCTTTAATCTTAATAAAGGCCAGTTCTTATATTTCAAACACATTGCTCAATGGTTTCTTTTCAGCTATCTTCATCTAGTTAAGACTTCATGGCGCTACTACCTAAACTACTCTCAAACCAGCAGTGTTTCCCCACCCTTGTCCTTCCACTGTTACCTGTCATAGAAATCTCTTTTGAACTATTAGGTAAATAATAGAATGGTTCATGAAGAATATCACCCAAGAGTAATGAGCTCCTCTAAAAAAATCATCTATGAGACCAAGTGGTCAAAACTTACTCTAACACAAAGACAAGGAGAAAGCAACATTCAAAGTACTGGAAATGGTACAACCAGAATGAAACTAATAAGAATGACGACACCCTGTGAAAAACGTAAACAAAACTGAATAATTTGGATAGATATTGTTAAATGGGAACCTAACTTGCTGTGCAAATGTTCATCTTAAACCTATTATTTTTTTTAAAGCAAGAAAGAAATCCCTTTTGAATCATCCTAATCAATTTGTTTCTTGGGCCTTAGTCCTAGGCTACTGAAGAAAAAGACTGTTCCTATTACAAATCAAAGTCTTCCAAGCCTTAACTAGGCCCTCATTTTGGGTGTATCAGCTCCTTTTTCTTACTCTCCACAGCAACCATTTTATACTTTCAACATTCTCTTCATGCCCACTAGGACATTCTAAGCAATTGATACTATCTCCTTTAAAAAACAAACAAACAGACTATCAAACATCAAAGATCAACTCCTTCCTTTCTAAACATCTATTTTTGCATGTACCTTCCCAGATTCTTCCCTGATGTTGGAAGATGTCCCTTTTCCCTATTTCAATTTGAATCCCTTACAAAATCCTTTTGATCCTAACCCTGTCAGTAGTCTCAAGAAACTATCTCCACTAGTTACTCTTATTTTTTTCCATTTTCCAACTCTTCCGGCCTCGTTAAGTTTCCTTTTTTCATGTTCAATTTCCTCATAACAACTGTTTTACTCTTCTAACACAAGAATAACAACCACAATTATAAACACTCCTTTGAAACTGTCCAGGCAAAAGAAACCAAAGACCTTCTAAATGCCAGGTTCAGTGTTGTCTTTTCAGTACTCATTTCTTTATCTTTATAAATGTTTGACCCTGGCTGTTTATATTCACTCTTCTTTGGCTTCTATTACACAAAGTCTCTCCTGGTTTACTCTTATCTCATTTGTTGGATCCTTTTACTTGATTCTGGTCTTGGTCTGCTGAATTAATTTACTCCACTGGTTTCAACTAATATCATAAGCTGATGATACCACAGTTATTTGCTTAAACCTAGAATTCTTTTGAGCACTATTATTGGCAAATTATTACCAGACTTTGTGTGGTTATATTATGGAATCTCAAAGTCAGCATGGCTCAAATTCAAGTCAGTTTTCATATCTCAGAAACTTCCGTAACCTTCTCGAATGTTCTACTTATGCCAAACTAATTTCTCTTCTCTTTCACATCAATCTATATTCCAAATTTGTTCTTTCTGCATCCTCTAACCTGTCTTCTCTTCACTAATGCCACAATTAAGTTCTTAGCAAGTCTCATCTTGGACTACTGCAAGTCTATGTACTGCTTCCAACCTCTTTCTGCTTCCAACCTCTTCACTTTAGAATTTAGACCACATACTGTCAAAGTGGGAGCCCTGGTGTGGCACTGTGGGCTAATGCGTCAGACTGCAAAGTTATCTGAACAGTAAGGTCGGTGGTTCAAGGTCACCAGTTGCTCCTTGGAAACCCTATACAGGGTCCTATGGGTTGGAATTGACTTGACGGCACTTAACAACAACTGTCAAAGTGAGAGTCCTGGTGTGGTGCTTTGGGATAAGCACAGTACTGGTAACCACAAGGTCGCAGCTCAAACCCACCAGTTGCTTCTTGGAAACCTTATGCAGGGTCACTGTGAATTGAAACTGACTGATGGCACTAACAACACATACACACTGTCAGAGCTTTATTAAAAAAAAGTTAAATTTTTTCATTTGTCCCCCACTGCCTAGAGGTAAAGTTCAAACATCTTATCACCTTGTTCTACAAAATGGTTCTTTTTAATTTTACCTTATTCCTTGCAATGCCTTCCTCAAGTCAGTAACAAACTAATGGAAGCACATTAGTTTTTGCTTCCTGCTACAGTCTTTGTTTATGATGTTCCTTATCTCGGAATGCTCTTTCCTATCTTGTAAACATCTACTCATCTTTCAAGATTTAGCTTTTCTATAAAGTCTTTTGTGAGCTACCACACAAAAGAAATGACCACTCCCACCATCCCATATCTCTATCATGGTACCTATGCACATTTATTGGACTTACTAATTTACATGTGAGCCCTCCCTCTTTGAGGGTAGAGCGAATGTTTCAATCAGTATTTCCTGTGCTTACCACAATAGCTGAAACACTAAGAGGTATTCAATAAATATCTGGTAGATAAACTAAAAATTTTACAATACTGTTAACATGTAAATATAATTATCCCATTTCATGGATTAGGAAGTATAAGAATTTAAAGAACTGGTCCAAGGTAACATGCTAATGAGTGACACAGCTAGAATTTAAAAACAAGTTTAACTTCAAAGCCCATTCTCTTTCTACTACATCAGCATTTCCAGAGTTGCTAGAGTGTACTGAATTATTTAATGTCTCTTCTAGACACAGTCTTTGCAAAATTCTACCACATGACGTTTTTCTGATTGGTCTGGATAAGAAAAAGTGGGGGAGGATGCTAACGATTCAGTTGTTGAGTGACTGTTAACAGGGTTAATTGTGAAAACTTTTAACTCTAACATGGGTATAAATTGAGCTATCTCAAAAGAAGGAGAGGGATTTCACTACAATCAAAGATGAATAATCATGAGTATTTAGACCCTGAAATCCATGTGCATTGAATCTCCTCAACTCAGGAACATAAAGCTATGACACTGGAGGAGTGGCAGTGGAGCAGCTGCAGTAAAATCAAGAACCAGAGCAGTGGGTGGGCTTACCAGGCCACAGAGCATATAAAGTTGAGTAACTTTTGGTGGTAGGCTTGGTTGCAGAGCTGGGTACCTTTAAGCACTTAATTGGGAGAGCTAGGTTTGCTGACCTATGGAGCCAGATTGAGTGCCTGTAGGCTGAGGCTTATGGTAGAGTGAGTGATGTGTCCTGTGAACATTTATCAGCAGCCACAAAAGAGCTTTCTTGGTTAACATCTTGGTTAACCAGTACAGAGGGAAGCATGCCAGGTGGAATGGCTGAGGAACTGAAAGAACTGTGCCCTGTTCTGGTTCTGACTTGTAACCTGATAACCTCCCTAATAAACGTCAGTAACTGTTGAGTGTGTTGTCAGTGTTCTGTGTGGTCACTGCAATGAATTGTTGAATCCAGCTGAGCAGAATGTGTGCCATGTGAGGGCTGGTTGTTGCAATTCTCTATTTGCAAATAGAAAATACTTCTGTGGCCAAATATTTCTAGGAAATACTGGGCTAAATAGGGCTTTTGCTTTTGTTTTCCAATTTTATTTCTACTAAAGGAATACAGGTCTTTAACTCACTACTGTGTGTGTGTATACATATACATATATATATATATACACACATATATATATACACACGCAAAAAAGACAAGAAACTGGCTAAAAATCTGTGGTGGTGGTGGTGGTGGTTATATACTGTGGAGTCGGTTCTGATGCACAGTGACCCTGTATAGGGTTTCCAAGGCTGTAAATCTTTACAGGAGCAAGCAGAAAGCCTCCTCTTTCTCCTGCAGAACAGCTGGTAGTTTCAAATTGCTGACCTTGCGGTTCGCAGTCCAACTTATAACCACTATGCTACCAGAGCTAGGTAGGATAAAAATCCAATTTTGATTGTGTTATTTAACAATTCACTTGAATCAGGGTGTTTTTTCTTAACTGAGCATTCCTGGAGGAGGAGTATGTATGTGTGTGGCAGGTAGGGAGTTGTAGGGGGTATGTGATGATACAAATAAATTTTCTTACAAAAAAGTCCATCTAGTTTCACTTCACTTGAAAATAGCCAACAAATTCCATTTTCTTGATCTAGAACACTGGTAATGTTTGTAGATTCTCTTCTATGCATTCTTGAAGAATTACAGAAGTTATCTCAACACAGAAAAGATAAAATTTTCATTCTAGACCAAAGATTAGGATGAACAGGTAACAAGTTCACTAAAAAAAGAAAACGTTTGTTGTTAAGTACTGTCAATTCAATTCCAACTCATCATGGCCCTGTATAGGGATTCCAAGGAGTGGCTGGTGGGTTTGAACCATTGACACTGTGGTTAACAGTACAGAGTTTATCCTATAACAACACCACAGCAGGACTCTGTAACCTATCTTTATTTCAGCACTAAAGAGAAATGTCTTTTAAGACTTCCAAAAAGTGGCAGACTAGGTAGACACACCACAAACCCTCCTCCAACAAACATCAAATTTACCAAATCAAACAGACACATGAAAATTCTAGCATGCTGAACTTCAGAAGAAAGGTTAGAGAAATGGATGGAGTACTTGTTGGGAAGAAAGGCCAAGCAGAGATGGTCAGAGAGGGAGACGGACTGGTAAACTGCTGGCCAGCTAGGGCTGCATCTCTTATGAGCAGCTTTGTTGGCAGAGGGAGGTCTGGCCAAGCAGATTCAAGAGGGTGACAGGAAAGGGGCAAAATTTTTTTTTTAACTTTTTCCCTATGCACCCCTAGTGACCAAAGGTTTGGCTGGCTCCCACCTTCATGCACCTCCCCGGGGCAGACCCAGCTCTCCAGGAGTTTGTAGCTACATGGTTAGGAGCCACACCAATGTGACTTTGGGGCCAGCTTCACAGCTTTGGTGCGTTGATTCAGGTGGGCTCGGTTCCTTACCTACAAAACCCGCAGAGCCATCAGACCAGCATTTAACCAGTCACCCGGTCCTTCTAAGCTTCCCTGTGGACCCTAAAACCAGTTTCATCAAGGACCCCCACAAACTACTTCCAGATTGAGTGCCCTGAACATAGACACCGAAGCCAATAGGAACTCCACCTAGGGCCAAGAACACTGCTGTCGCATTCCTTCCACAACCACCTTGTGAGCGAGTTGATTGCAGAGGCCAACCAGAGATTTCTCCTCCCAATCTGACAACTGCACTGTTTGTGTACAAATATGAAAACCTCATAATACCCAGAAGACAATAGACAATTTTAGCTCATAAGAAGTAATAAGAGAGAAGGGTTCAAACAAATGACCAATATGCAGAGCCAGAAGATGTTTCTGAAGAAGAAAAGGTAATGGAACTAACTGAAAAAGAATTTAATAGACTGTTAACCAAGTATCTTTAAATAGAAAGATGGAAGAAAGTAAGGAGACCACACACACACACACACACACACACACACAAAACCATAAAAAAAATTTAGAAGCACTTGGAAAAACAGGCTGACAAAATAAATGCAAATTTTGAAACAATACAAAACCTGCCGTTAGAAATCAAGACTTATTAAGAGTAAGATTTCAGAAATGGACAATACATTGAAAGGACAAAGGAATAGATGCAGAGTACCAGACACTTGAATTAGTGAGCTTCAAGATAAATTTCTCAATACTAGTATATGCTAGAAGAACAATCCGAAAAAAATAATGAAAAAATTGGAAGAAAGTTTAAGAGTTATGTGAGACACCATGAGAGGAACAACTTATGGATAGAGGAAGAGACAAAAGACAGAAAAAATGTCTAAGAGTTGTTGGGAGAAAACTTCACTAACATCATGAAAGATGAGAAAATAAGCATACAAGAAGCTGAACTAAGCACAAACAGTAGAGATCCCAAAAGAATATCACCAAGACATATAATTAAATTTTCTGATATCAAAAACAAGGAAGAATTCCAGCCTGGGAAAAACAAAAAGTTACCTACAAAGGAGAACCAGCAAGGCTAAGCTCTGATTTCTCAGCAGAAACCAGGAAATGAGATGACATATACAAAACTTGAAAAGAAAAAAAACTGCTAACCAAGAGTCCTGGTGTGGTGCTGTAGGATAAGCACTCAACAATTCACCAGCTGCTCATCAGATAGCCTATACAGGGTGCTATGGGTCCGAACCGACTCAATTGCACTTACCAACAACAAGAAGAATCATACACTAAGGCAAAGCTGTCCCTAAAATAAAAGTGAAATTAGGACATTTTCTGATAAACAGAAATTAAAGGAATTTATAAAGACCTGATCAACTTTATAAGCGAGAACAACAGCAGAAAACAACCTGAGATTATCATACATGACACCACCACTCAGAACATAATCCAGATACAGAAGTATTTACAGTAAACAAACCTACAAGACTGAAAATAGAGAACCAGAGATACCAATGTATAATGAAGTGAACTACAAAGCAAAAAGAGGGAATAGTGTAGGGAACAGAACTTTCAAATGGCAAGGAAGTCAAGTAGATTTCAAGATGAAACAGTTTGTTTTAAGCATGGGGAAAAAAATTAATAAACTATGGGGTAACCTCTAAGAAAAACAATACATCTGCACATGAAAATAAAATTTAAAAAAATCAGAAAGATTTAGTACACATTAATACAACAAAAATAAAATGAAAAGAAAACTCACAAACAAAACAAACTTGGCACAAAAAATTATATGGAACAAAGAATTTGCCAGCACCACAAAACACACATAAATGATATCAATTCCTATCAATAATTATACTGACTATAAATTGACATGAGAACATTAAAAATTAGGATCCTTCAATATGCTGTGTATAAGAGACATATCAAAAAGATAGAGACACCCTAAATGCCAATCAACAGAAGAATAGCTAAACAAACTTTGGTATATACACACAATGGAATACTACTAAACACTGAATAATAATGATGAATCTGTACAACATCTCACAACATGTTTGAACTTGTAGGACATTATGCTGAGTGAAATTAATCAATTATAAAAGGACAAACACAATATGTAACCAATGTTGCAAACAGTTGCAATATACAATCAAAAGGAGATTGGTGGTGGCTGTGTGTTGTGGAGTTGGTTCCGACTCATAGAGACCCTGTGTACAGGGTCTTTCCAAGGCTGTAAATCTTTACTGGAGAGGAAAAATGAGAGAGACACAGGGAGGAATGCAATAGCTAAAGAGAACTGTTAACTGTTGGTACATGTAATGAAGCAAAGTATTATGATGTGTTGAATGTGAAACTAATGATTTGCTCTGTAAACCTTCACTCAATTCACACACACACACACAATTTTTTTTTTTTTTTTTAAAGAAACGTCTTTTAGGAGCTATTTTTATTGATGTTTATATATATAAAAAACATAAAACCCCATAATAAAACCATAAGACACTGACCAAAAAATAACATTATAATAAGAATCTTTCTAAAAAGTACTAAGTTTTATAAATCAAATTATGGTTAATGGCTTACACTTACCATTTTTATTTGCTGGTGAAAAGAAGTTGAAGACAGGAGAAAATATGGTCCCCAACAATGTAGTCCGTGGAGGGCTGCCAGTTGTAGGGTTATCTTCTAATTTTCCATTTTGTTTTACATGTTGATTTGTCATTTCATAACTACCAGCTTCTAAGAAAGAAACAAAGAAAAAAAAAAGAGCTGTGATCTGGAAACAAAAAAACTGACTTCCAAAACTGTGTTTTAAATCCATTTTAAAAATAAGCATTTCCCTTCAAAATCTTTATGCAAATTGATTAACATTGAGAAGCGCTTAAAGAAATCTTAGGTAAATCACTTGTAAGCAAATTATCTTTATTAACAAAATTGTTTTAAAAATTACTTAGCCCTTAGTTAGAAGGAAGGTCTGCAAGACTCTGTCTCTCATTACTTCACACGTCATCAGAATGGACCAATCCCAGGAGAAAGATATTGTGCTTGGTAAAGTGGAGGGTCAACCGAAAAGAGGAAGACCCCCCACCCCCAACAAGATAGACTGACACTATGGCAGCAGTAATAGGCTCAAGCATAACAACAACTGTGAAGATGGAACAGAACTAGGCAGTGTTTCATTCTGTTGTGCATAAGATTGCTATGAGTCAGAACAAACTCATCAGCATCTAACAACAATATTTAGTAGTTTCTGTTTTTAAAGAAAACTTGCACCTAGAATTATATAGACAGAATTTCTGGAAGGCTTCATATCAACAAAATGTAACAGAAAATGAAAATTCTTTATAATTAAAGCAAATCAGTTAAAATTATCTGAAGAACAAGTAAAAGATTTTAGTTTTTTTTGTGTTTTTTTTTTTAATTTTGAGATGTTTCCTGTTTTTAACATCTTCCCTATTGTATTTCTAATGAATAAATAAATGGGAGTCAACACAGCTCTACTAAAGCAGAAGATCAGGGATAGTAGTGTCAAAAATTAGCTACAGATACATTAAGGTAGTAGTTTTAGAGAGTTGAAAAGAAAAACTAATTTTTAAGTTTCAAGTAAATTTTTTTCTAGGTTTAGAAAATATAAAAACTTAAAAATAGTTTGATTATTCATGCTCTTGGTGCTATAAGATAAGTACTTGACCATAAGGTCAGTTTGGATTGCAAAGCTGTTAATTCAAACTCATCAAGTGCTCCTTGGAAACCCTATACAGAATCGCTATGAATTGGAACTGACTTGACTGCAGTTAATAATAAAACCCTCCAAAATTTTACTTGGTGTCTACCATATTATTTCTTTCCTTCTTTGCTCTTTGACTTGTTTTCTTTTCTCATATCCCTAATCTTAAGTCTCTTTATCCCTCTATAGCCACTTGTAACAAAAAGATACATCACTATACTAGAAGTGGGTTTGTGAGTATGAAGATAATTGTTAATGCTGTAGAGTTTCAGATGTTAAGTGCTACCAAGTCAATTCTGACTTACCGTGACTCTAGGCACAACAGAATAAAACACTACCTGGTCCTGCAACACCCTCACAATAGTTGTTTGGGCCCATTCTTGCTGCCATTGTGTAAATCCATCTCACTGGCTTTATTGTTTAATTTTATTACTCAATGCTCTTCGTTGAGTCCATTCAGACTCGTAGCAACCCTGTATAAGGGTTCCGAGGAGCAGCTGGTGGGTTTGAACCGCCTAAACCCAACTTTGTGGTTAAGAAGTCCAGTGTCTATCCTATAGTGCCACACCAGGACTGTATTGTTTAAGATACTGTTGTTAAGTGTCAGAGTCAGTTCCAACCCAAAGGGACCCTGTAAAGGGTTTTCAAGGAATGTCTGGTGAGCTTGAACTGCTGACCTTGTAGATTAAACTGACTTTGCAGTCTAGTGCATTAACCCACAGTGCCACACCAGGACTCCAATGGCACAGCTTAAAACACAGTACACTTCATGCTCTTCAATGTTGTTCTTTATAGTCTTCTCTACTTATCCTCCTACCTGTTTATGTTTTTCTTTCTGACTTTGAGGAGTTTCTCAGCTACAAATTTGTCAGATATCATCTGTTGTTGTTGTTGTCAGGTGCCATCGAGTCGGAACCGACTCATAGCGACTCCATGCACAGCAGAACGAAACAATGTTCGATCCTGGGCCAACCTC